TCTGGCTTTGGCCAGAGAGTAGCTAGGACTACAAGCACACACCACCACATTTGGCTAATTTTTATAAAATTTTGTAAAGACAGGATCTTGCTATGTTGCCCAGGCTGGTCTTGAAATCCTGGCCCCAAGAGATCATCCTGTCTCGGCCTCCCAAAGTGCTGGGATTATAGGTGTGAGCCACTGTGCCTGCCCTAGCCTGTCCTTGACTCTTAGTTGGATATCATTCCATAGTTTAGAAATGGTTTTCCATCCACAATTTGGCTCTTATCAAGACATATTCTAATGTAAAGTTGTTTCACCTTTCAGGACAATTAGAAAGTAGATAGCTAAAACATAAAAAAGACAAAGTTCTCATTTCCTGAAGTCAAATTTCACACATCAGACCAAGTTATCTGGTGGGCTCATGTGCTACAAAAAACATAAAATTACAAAGAGACGCACTTCTCTGATGAATTAAAAACCTGTGTCCTGCAGGAGCCCTGCTTTTTACTAAAATACCTCAGCATGCAGCTGAGAGTGTAACCATTGGGATGCCAGCCATGAAGTGTTAACGGCTTGGAGAGAAGGGGCCCACCCCGGAGCTCTGTGACTTTAGAATCAATTTGGATACTGAAATGTCATCTCTGCCAGCCCTGTTTCCAGTTTGCCTCATACGTGGGGACTGGTGAAGACAGGAAATGGGATTTCCCCTATCCCCTCACTCCCATCCACCCACTAGGAGCTCTCCCAGCTGAAAATGGCTGTCATGACTGCTCTGTCCTTACACAGCAACGACCAGAGGCTACATCAGGGTTGTTCCTGCTGCACATCTGCCCTCTCAGAAATGGGTCTATAATGGGCCACACAGTCCTGCAGTGTCCTGTGCTTCCCAGAGCATCTTCCCCTTCTGCCCGGACCCAATTTTGAGAGATTTTCCTGTCCATGGTGAGAAAGCTCCTTCAGCCAGTCTTGGCATTCAAATGTAGACAAGGTCTTTGTACTTTACTCCTTCTCCCACAAAATAATATAGGATATTTTCCAAAAGTTGAGCTAAGAGACTACCCGAGCAATTCAATCAAAAGTTTCAATTCAAAGCATTTCTCACCAACATGAACTCCAAATCCACGATGGTCCCTTAAACCTCCCATCCAGCCAAAGTGAAGTCATTCTTTCCCAGGCACTTCCCAAAGAGTTGCATCAGTCTTTTCTTTCCATTGATTCGTTCATTCAACAAATATTTGTTAAGTGCTGACCGTGTGCCAGGCACTCTGCCTGGTACTCAAGATGCAACACCAAATGAGGCAGACACCTTCCCTGTCCTCACAGAACTTTCATTCTAGCTCCAAGAAAGGACACAGAGCAAATGCTTAAACCGTTCATTCAATCATGCATGCATGTGTAAGAGTTCATGCCAATTGGTATAAATTGTATTAAATCTTTTGGTCGGGAGTTATAGACAACTCTGGATAACTTCATGAAAGAAATGAATCCATGGGAGAGACATGGAGAAGTCTAACAGGATCCAAGGAAGAGATAAACAAGGGCAGGAACCAAAATAGCTCTACCTCTTTGGCAACAGTTTATGAATCTTCCTTCTATTATGTTTCATTAGTGTGATTTAGTTATCAACAACTGTAATTATTTCAGTTAAAAAGGGAATGTCATTGGCTCACCCTGCTTTTAGTGTCTGCCTTTGGACTAACTGGACTGAGCTAGGGATGTTGGTGTTAGAGTACAGACATAGCTGTTGAAGGCCACCCCTGGGCAACAGGTGAAGGCCCCAGAAAAGAGGTCAGGCAGTTTCTGTAAAATTATCTATACAACAGAGGTAGGAATTGTCCCAAGAGCATCTGACTTAATTTTGGGAAGGGGATGGGATCAAAGAAAGTTTCACTGTGGATGAGAAATATAATCCCATCACCTGAAGGATGAAGGAGTTAGCTAAGTCAAAATGAAAAAATCATGGGAAGGAGAAAGTGGGACATAATGATATATAGAAATGGTATCTGCGAAAACTCAGAGGCAAGAAGATATAAGACATATTTGAGGACTGGTGAGAAGGCTGGATTACAGCCGACAGGGCATTTTCACTCTGGTGGATTGGAGGATTTATCTCAAGCCCTACATCCTTTTTATCAGCTTTCTTGGGAAGTCAGTGGGGCTCCTGGTGGTCAGCAAGGAGTTTCTGGGTGGGGCATCCAGAGCAGGCTCTTCTCTAGTGTTAGTAATAATGCTAGTTGACACTTCTGATTAATGGTTGTTTTTGCCTTCCAGAAATACTCATCTTTTTTTGCAGAAACATGTTGGCTTTTCTTTTTGGAAAAAAAAAAAAAAGTTGATTAAAATTCACTTCACCCACTTTCTCTAGATTTCATAGATATGCCACCTGATCTTTGTATCTATAAAACAGACCTATATAAATTCTAACTGAATTTTAAACAGTTTTTAAAGCAGGTCTTGAATTTTAAGATTCTATATAGTATTTTTCTGTTAACCTAAGGCCAGAAATTGAGCTGTTTTGTTCTTTTGGAGAAACAGTTAACTATTAAAAGCTGCATAAGATGAGATTTTGACCCAGATTTATTAACTTCATGAAATAATTCCAAATAATATTGTGATAACTTGTAGTGATTTGAGCTGAGCAAATGCGAAGGTCTGTGGTGGATTAAAGATGGCTGCAAATTCCTTGCCATTCCTCTCAAAAAGATACGAGGTTTATTTCCCCACCCATTGCATCTGGGTTGGTCTTTGAGTACTAGTAGAATGAGGAAAGAGTGATACCGTGCTGGCTCCAGGCCTAAGATTTCAAACGTCAGGCAGCTGCCATGTTTGTGCTCTGCCAGCTGCCATGCTGTCAAGCAGCTCCAGTAGACTACTGAACCATGAGAAGGCATGGAAAGGTTCTGAAGGTTGAGGCACCATCTTGTGAGCACCAGCGCCAGCCAAGCTCCCCACTGAGTGCAGTTCCTGAGTGATCTCAGCTACACCCTGTGAAGCAGAACTGCCCGGCGGAGCCAAGTCAACTCACAGTGTTGTAAGACATAATAAATTTTTGTTGTTTTAAGCTATTCAGTTTTGGGTTGGTTCGTTATACAGCAATAGATACTGAAGTTGGTTCCATGTGGATTTCTTTTCCATTTCTTTAGGAGAAAGTGGATTTCTTGGTCTTTTGCTTACTTGTTTATTTTGGTTCTTAGTATTTTTTATTTTAC